CTCTCTCTCTCTCTCTCTCTCTCTCTCTCTCTCTCTCTCTCTCTCTCTCTTTAATCGAGCGATCAATGAAGATTAATGGATGTATTGTAAATTATATGTATATATATATATATAGTTCACAATATAGCTTGTTTATGTAAATGGAAGAAATTCTTCCATTCTTCTTTTTCTGCGATTGGATCTTTTTTTCTTTTTTCTTTTTTCTCTGTCCTTCGATCAAGTAACTTTAACGCAGATTTTCCGATTGTTTTAAATACGAAGGAAAATTTTTATTAATCCTTTATTAATCCTTTGTCGAAATATATATTATCTTAACTCCTTTTTCTTTTTTTTTTTTTCGAGTTTAACGAATTACGAAATCATTTCGTTTGCATAAAACGTAACGTGAATTTAATTTTATCAATCGGATCGTTCTTCGAAACGCACCTCACGTTTCACCTTTTTTTCTTTTTCTCTCGTATTATCTTAACTCTCGTCCTTTAATAGACGCGAATCGACTCGAATTCGTCCGTAACGTTGGAAGCATAATCTGTTACACCGTTGACCGTGTTTCCATCCGTGATCCAGTTTGCGGTTGTGGGGCAAAATTTATGCGCCATATGTGCCGGTGGATAGAGGACCACGACTAATGTAAGTCGATCGTTGCGCCGTATTTTCGCCTTAAAAGGCCGCCCCTCGCCGCCTAGACGACGACGCCCGAGTAACTCTGTAATGGACCGCATTAATGCACGATGAAGTTGCCCCTCAACGTAATTCGTGGATCGGGCTAAAACGAGTATCGCGCGAGTATTCCCTCCTCCGAAGTCGAATCCATTATCCTTGTCGCTTCCTTCGAATATTTACTCGTGAACGCGTGACCTCTCGAGATCACGTGGCCGAGACGAACATCCAACGTATCGAATATCCGTAATTTTGTCGCACCACTTTCGATCACCGCGAGAGAGAATCTCGAAACGCGATTGTTTCCAATTGTCCATGTCCAATTTTCACCGATGAATACCTCCTCCGTTCCTCCCCACGAATACAATAACTCGAGAGATAAATTCTTCTATCTTCTCTTCCGTTACCGTGTTTATTTACAGCGATGGGATTAAAGAAGAAGAAGAAGAAGAAGAAGAAGAAGAAAGGGGGTTGAATTGTCAATAATTTTTCTACAGCGAGATTGGACGAGTAAATTTCCTCCGCTCGGTGGATTATTCGCGGTAATTGTTTACGATTTTGGGAGGAAGAATGCACCAGGTGCAGCAGCCGTTAGATTGCATTTCGTGCTTGGAAGAATTATGCAACCGTGTGATGATCCAGTGCACTTACGATACCTCGAGTGCAACCGTGGTATCGACGATGCTGCACGTGCACTATACACCTCCTCTCCCCCTCGTATGTAACATACGAGACAGCCGTTGAATTCCAGATCACCGTCCATAAATCGATACACCACTCCTCTTCCACAGTGTTCCTCGCTGTGTTCGAGGCGTGCAATAATAAAGTGCAAAAATGCGGTATCACGTTGCGCTTTATCGGATACCATGGATCCAGCTTCGATATTCGTGCTTGATGCTTGATTTATCGGGGAATTGATTATTTTTTTGAATTAAATTATTCCCTCGTGGAGGAATCGACTCGACGAAGGAAACGGGGGGTTTGGTTGGATAAAGGTATATCGGTTCATATTTATTCTTCTTCGATGGAATTATCGTTAAATTTTCAAATTACTTTTTTCTTACGATGTCATTTTGATCTACGCGTTTTCGAAGCATTTAATCGCATTGGAAGAATTTCACGAATATTCGCGCATACTTGATTCCCGTGGAAATGGGGAAAAAGATACGCGAGAAGAAAGCAATACGAGGAGAGTACGACTACGTCACAGGGAACGCACCAATTTATTTATTCCCTTTTTCGACAATCCCGAATACAATCGTACGTTCGTCGCTGGATCGTGGAAGTCGTAAATCCTCTTCTATTCTTATTATTTCTCTTACAAATCTTGGATGTTGTACGGTGAGATCTTTTTCGAGAAGAGAAAGAGAAAGGGAGAGGAAAGTGAAACTCTCGTTCTTTTCTAATATCCGAGAAAGTCGAAGAGTCGAAGGATCTTTGATAAATGACTCGCCAGATTCAGACACCT